AGAGGTAAAATTGGTGAGGTTTTAGAGCGTCTACTGAATTTCTAGATTTATTGAAACGATTTTGAAAATTCTTAGATAAAAAAATTTTGAAATATCTTGAAGGGTATATTAACAAAAAAAAAATTCTTTCTGAAACATAACGAAATTATTTACCTCTTCAAAGTATTAGTGTAGAAAAAAAAAGAAATTCTACTAACTTATTTTGAACCTTAGGTACACCAAAAACAGACCCCAATATCCGTCGACAAGATTCGCCATCATAATTTTCCAGTAGATTAATGTGCCTGTGTACCTTCGTAGGTGTGTCAAGTAGGAAATGTTAGAGTCGTTTAGGGTTAAATGACATAAGACCAAACGTCTGGGGTCACATCGACCGTAACCATCGTGAGGCTTGTTAACCCTATGTAGCTATGGTATCTCGTGAAATAAGCGTTTCCACGGCTATTTGCACCCTAAGTTGAAGCCAAAATTGAACAGCTAAGACTTTTTTATTAGATTTTTCTTCTTGGCAACTAATTTACCCAAATCAGGTAAAAGTTTTTGGGATCTATTTTGAGCGGGTTTGAGCACTTAATTTAAATCTTTATTAATTGTAAAGATTTGATTTTTGCCTAACTTATTAATATAAAGGTTTGAAAAATGGTTCTATTTTATCTGTTCATTTCTCCGTGGCTATAATTTTTGGCATTAAAAAATTTAAAAAAGCAATTTGAAAACCTTTGTAAGTTGATTTTTTTTTCACAATCGATCATACGGCCGAAACGAGCTAGTAGAATTTTATCATTTTTTCTAACCCTTCCAGTACCAGTGAATCGAGACACAATAGAAATCAATTGTTACCGCGGTCTAATGCAACCACTAAGGCTGAGTTGCACCACCTAACTTTGGCCATAACTATAATGATAGCCGGTGCTCTTTGTATGAAGTTTGGCAGATTTTTGACGTTTATCAAAGTTAAAGTAAGATGGTGCAACCCAGCTTTACAGTTTCATGTGGTAAATGAGCTGTCTGTTCTCGTGTAGGCTATGCGAATATAACAGTAAAGCCGTTTTGCGCCGAAATGAGCCTGTTTAATATGGCCGCTGCCTGGTTAGTGCCACGTTGACGACGCCTCACGCCTGGCACATCAACTTTATCCCGTATCCGTGACGAACCGGGGGTAAACGTATATTATATTGTTTCGGGGGCACAGCTAGCCCGCGACTCGCACATAAGGGTTATTGTCGATTTTCCACGAAGTTTATTCGTCACGAAAAATGCGTGTAAATTCGTCACACTTGTATTAACATGTAGCAATTTATTATTTTGGAGGATTGCCATACGAGTCTGTTTATGACGAATTCACTTTCAATAATAATGTAATTTACTAAAGGGTGACGAATCGACTTTGTGGCTTAAAAATACTTAGTTTGTATAATGTTTGCCGGTTTTGAAATATTTTTCATTGGTGCGTCACTCCTATGGGTCGTATTGTGATGTATAGTAATATAGCCTTCCACGATAACTGCACTATCCAAAACAAAAATGATTTTTCAATTCGAACCAAAAATGAGATTACCGCGTTTACTACACAAACAGTTTTCAGTATTCACAGTAGAGTACAGCACGTGAGTGTGTATATTCGCTAAACATAACACATTTACTCATATCTCTGACTGGCATAAGCTATGTGATGTTTGGATAGAAGATAACCTTGAACCGATATTTCAAAATCGGCTTCAACCTCGAGGGAATAAAAGTGAGGTTAAACTTTTATTTGAAAGTGTAAATTGAGTGGAGCAAGGCTTCAGGCCATTAGTAGAGGCTCCGTGTGTTGAATACTTACTCAATGGAAACATACTGGACTTTAGTTTGACGAGAAAAGCATTCTAGACTGCATCCCACTTAACACCAGCTGGACTAAGATGCGCGCCGTGATAAAATCTTATCGATGATTTTAGACGACAAATGTATGGGCTTATCGCATAAAATCGATAAAATGGCGTAATAAACGTTTATCGCGGCGCGCATCCTAGGTAGGGTATGCAAAACCGAAAGTTTATCAAAAACCGATTTTTTTTTCGGTTTCCAAGAAAAAAAACCGGTTTTCGGTTTTTAATCGGTTATTATCGTTCTATATTTTTTTTCAGTCAACTAGTAGTTACATACAGCGATTTGTTACGTCCTGTCCGTTTTGTGTTAGATTACATTATTTAAGAGAGGGTTCTAACAATTTTGATAAATTTAGCTTATTCATTAGGCATTATAGGCACATAATTAATATAATGAATAAGCTAAATTTAACTCAAGGGATGGTAGTTTATCTCCATTGTACGTAATAATTGTCAACGAATACGTTTTTAAAATTCATTACTCTGCAGGTTTAGTATTTTGTTAATTACCACCATGTCCGTAATGTACTTCAAAAACGTATTTGTTTACAATACGATTGATATAAGCAATATCTTGAATTAAAAAGTATAATAAAATCTAAAAAGCTTTATTTGTGAACGTTAGGTGATTAGGTACGATTGATATTTTAAGCAATAGATATTATCTTAAATTAAAAAGTAGAATAAAATGTAAAAAGCTTTATTTGTGAACGTTAGGTGGTACCTATTTCTGTCAAATTTTAATACACTAAGTATTACAGTAATAAATGAGCTTCTGCAGATATAGCAAATAAATGAGATTCAATGTTCAAAACAATTCAGAAATAAAAACTGTTCAATTCACTCACACATAGGTTAATTATTCACTGCAATAATCACCAACTATCTGAATCGCGGGGTGGGTCATGTTAGGTGGCGGGCGCAGGCGGTACGAGTCTTAAATAATTATATTATCGGGGATTCCCCGTTCAAAGGTAAACGACGGAGTAACCAAGTGACAATGTTGCCAAGTTATAAATTGTAAAATAACCAAATATTCGTCAAATATCAAAATACCTAGGTTATATTATAATAAAATAATATTGCTTATTTGTACAGATAGAAAAACCGATTTAAATCCGGGTTTCGATTTTTAAAACCGGTTTTAGAATTCGTCGAAAAAGGGCGGTTTTTCCGATTTTTCGGTTTCCGATTAACCGGTTTTGCATTCCCTAATCCTAGGCCTACTGGTGCGATTGTGGTCAAATACCTGCCTTGTTATGCATAAAAAAATTCGTAACGCTGGCTGAACGAAAGCTTCAGCCAAAGCTTCATCTAGGTGGTAAGGCAAGCTATATTTAGGACTATTTATAAGCGCCCTGAGCCTATACAGGTTGGAATTTTGTAATACCAGCTGAAGCGAAACCCTAACAGTCGATGCAATAAAAGTACAGGGTGTAATTTTTTTTAGTTGGTGGGAAAATTTATTTCCATTTTCAAATTTTAGTTGGTAGGAAATATAATATTTACCATTTTAACTTAACATAAGATAGATATTATTCCTAGCAGTTCGGTCAGAAATTAACTAACGTGAATTTTCAACTGAGCAGATATAGGGAGCTTTCTGAGGGTGCAACGTAGGCTATTCAGTGTCTAAGACCGATATTTCACTGGGGTTAGTGATTTCTACCACCACTCTTTGTACACAGTACTTAGTTTAATACACTCTCTTAGTAAAGATATTAAACGAACCCTAAAGTTAACTTCTTCTGTACAAAATAATGTTACTGACCAGTCTACATTTTATTGCAAAAAAGCCCATTATTACACAATGTTGATAATGTAACCAAGCAAGATTCCATAACAACATTTACCACCCACATTGAAAACATGGCATAGGCAACCTAAAATCTTTCAAAAATTAAAATTATTCTAAATCACGTAAGCGAGTGCAACGCGTAAACCAATAGCGCCGCGCTCTCTCTGAAATTCAAAATGCCCAAATTAAAAAAAAATTTTGGTAATGTTGAAGTACTATGACGATATTGTCATACCTTCTTTAATAAAATTGATAACTAAATCATTTTCCATCAGGTGAGATGCAGGCCAGCTTCTACGTAGTAGGTAAAAAATTAAACCATCGCTGATTTCCACTCTATTATCAATTTACCTACCGAAACATAAGCATTCAACTTACATTTTTATTAAGAACTTAGCTTTTTTTGCTTCAATGAACGTCGTTATCACTAATCTAGAAGAAAACTTGGCAAACACGTTTGGATAAGTTCCAAGGGGTATCATTATTCGATGACGACACTTAGCCTACAAAAATTGAAATTTGATTTGAAATTATTGAAATACTAGCTTTGCCCGCGGCTTCGCCCGCTTGAAATTATAATATAGCTCTAGTGCTTAACTCACTCAGTGTGTGAGGTATGGGAGCGGCATGAGACCCGCACCCGCATCGACATATTATGACGTGACGGAGCATACAAAGCATTCCAAAAATCCATTGCGGTGTTGTCTGTCTACTATTCCTAATAGACTAAGAGCTTGTGAACGCCAGACCTACGTCATTATAAAAGCTGAAAGTTTGTTATGATGCACCAAGATTCTAACCTATATTGGGAGCATACGCTGACAAAGGATAGTGCCAGGGTCTGGACCAAGTGCTGCCCAGAATCAACCCATAGTGCATTTTGTTCCTCAGGCCAATACTAATGTGTATAAACCGAAGCGCTTGATCGCTTATAAATAATGTCGAAGTCGTACTAAATTAAGGTGTACGGATGCAGTATGGTTAAGTTCAACATAGCGAGTGTTATTTAATGCCAAAATCGCGAAATCTTATACGTAGTAGGTATACATCGATGATATTTTGTATGTAAATAATTCAAAACAAAACTCTTTTTTTCTCTTAACTCCAGAGATAGATTTCAGTGCGCTCCAGTTTACAAATTAGTATTGGCCTGAGGAACAAAATGCACTATAGTTTCATTCTGGGCAGCACTTGGTCCAACTTCCATACATGGATTGGCACTGTCCTTTCAGCTTTTATAAAATCACGTTGGTCTGACGTTCACTAGCTCTTAGTCTTTAAGTGACAATTTATCTTTTTTATGAGATGGCTAAAAATAAATATTCTTGCAGGTACCTCGGCATCAGGAACCCTCTGAAAAGCCGGCACCACTCCACCAAGCGGGTGGTGGTCATCAAGATAGCTCTCGTGTGGCTCCTCAGCATGTTTGTGTCCAGTTCCATTACAGTTTTGGGTAAGTATAATAAATAAATAGTAAGTATAAAATATCCTTGGACAGCGCAGGACCGGTCGTTAAAGAAATTCTTGGGGGAGCTTGTGTCCAGCAGTGGACGTCATTTGGCTGAAACGAACTAATGAACGAAAATCCTTGGATATTTTACACAGCGTCAATCACATCACTAAACCGCCTCTGAGTGTGTACCGTCTAGTGGTCAGACTAAGTGCTTCGAGGTCCCGGTTTCGATTCCCAGTGAGTGCAGATTTTTCTGTTGGAAGTAAAATAGCCTGTTCCTCTATAGTAGAGGATTTTATAAAAACGCTATTAGTTTCTTAAAAAGTAAATAAATAAACTTCATGTTTTTAATAGGAGTTAGAGCTTTCAAATTAGTGGTTTTGAGACGGACTTTGTCATCCGTTTGCAGGACCTCACACTGAAAATTGTAACAAATGCGATAAAATAAAAATCACATTCAATTACCAACAGTGTGTGCGGCCTCGCAAATGCACGTCTAATGTCTAATTTGAAAGAGCCATTAGAGCAGTGTTTTGTGAAATAAATAAAGCTTAATAATTCTGAGCCAAATTTTGAATTAGACTGAAAGCTAGATTTGGTCCCATGTTTTCAGCCTGAGAGCTAGTTTACGTTCCACATTACGCATCACAGTAATTGGCCGCTTTAAATGGGCCCAGACCGCGAGACTGATGCTTGTTGGAATAGAGCATAGAGCCTTTGAAAGCAAATGGTAGCCCAAATAATGTTCATTTAGGTAATTCCTGTACTGCAACTGTAGATTAAAGTCATTGCTCTGTATTTTGAATTTTATCTGATGGAAATATAAATTAGCTCAATTACAGATCGTTTCATCCACGAAGACGCGCCCCACCATTCTTCCGCTAATGTTTGAGTGTTAACGATACACACTATATTATCCATGAGTGCACACGCACACTACAATAATGACGCTCGGATTGTTCGGATCAAACTCCCCGCACCCCGCGCTTCACTCGACCAAAAATTGGTGGGGCGCGTCTTCGTGGATAAAATGATCTATAGCTAGCAACGATAGGATGCTAGTTTGATCCCTGTCGACTAGGCCAGTGGTTCTTAGGTTCTTACCTTTAAGGACGAGGGACCGTTATACCAAATTTCTGTCTTGTCAGGGACCACTTATTATTATTATTATTGTTCAAAATCCTATGTAAGGGGAGATCGATTTCTCGCCCACTGTACGCCGTTTGCATTGTGTTGACTTGACTCATCACGTCACGTCACTTGTTTATTACGATGTCTTCGTGGACCACTTGGAATGCCTCCAAGGACCACCAGTGGTCCACGGACCACCGGTTAAGAACCACTGGACTAGACTATTTGGGTTACCTACCCATTTCAAATAAGAGCAGATATTTTACCTGGATGGGTTATGGGTTAACCTTGATAGAGGCAGAGTATGGCCGGTCATTGAGGAGAGAATATCATTGAGAATGGAAGGAGTGGAGTCAAAATGGAAGGACTCTCGGGTTAACGGGAGTACTTACCTACATATTAGTCATTTATTATTACTTGTAATCATGAAAAAAAAATTGTGATAATCATGGAGTTACATTGACTGAAGATTACCTACTTCGTGATTCTTTCTTATAACCCTTATAACAGAGGTCACAACCTGCCGAAATACTTTGAAAAAAGTAATATCAATAACATAATATTTTAGTGAATTCTGACCAATACTCAATTTTAAACAAATCAATTCCAGGATTTGCGTTATTTCAATTACACGTCGGTCGTCGGGCCTATTGGTTAACTCTCAAAGTTTGAACCCAGTTTAGTAGGCCTTTGTTGTGGCGATTGGTTGCCAATATTCTGAACGAATGAATGATCCCAAAGACTTTGTATACTATAAATACCCTAAGCACGAATAAAGGACGCGGACGTCGCACATATCAACCCGGCAAGGGATCGTAACCGTATCAACTCGAGGCGGTCAATATTCTTTGTATGACACTACATAGTACATACTGCAACGCACTCTTATACTGAACTGTCCCACCAAACTCATTGACCATCGTTCAACTACATAGTTTCCAACATGGCAAAAATCGGAACCAGCGATCCGGTATTGACGGTGGCGCCCCGCTGTAATGTCACTGGTAGGACAGTGTGCTTACCATGAGTTTACGTTAGGTGTGCTCGCTAGCGAGTACGTCAAAAAAATCTATGAAGATTTGATTTCTTGAAAGTATAGTTATTTAATTTTTAGCGTTAAGAGTCGCTTCTCAAACTAATTTGAAAATTATAAATAACTTGAAAAAATCGAACTGCCTAAGGCGGGAATTGAACCCACGTTGAATTTTTCAAGTTATTTATAATTCTTGAAAGTAGCCACTAGGGGCGCTAAACAATATGTCATACATTTAATGTCAGTTTTTTACGCAGTCGCTAGCGAGCAAACCTAACGTAAACTCATGGTAAGCACACAGTTCATTATATTTGGTCTATATCCGCACAGATACGTAAACGCCCCGCCTCGCGATTGACAGCGCGCAAAAGGTGATGACAGCTCGCGAAAAGCGAGACGGTGTTGATCCCTTTCCGAGTTGATAAGTCTGCTATGAGCTTAACTGTCGTAATCGTAGAGCTGTTATCATGACAACGGAGTCTCAGAAGAAAAAAATAGTGCTGTTAATAATTTGCGTAAAGTGAAAACAAAAACTAAAATAATGATTTTACATTTTCATTTTCAATATATGAAAAGAGTGATGGCCACTAGATTTTGTCAAAAAACATTTTTTATAGCAATTTAATCAAATTAAAAAACTTGCATACATATAGTCAAAGTCAAAATTTCTTTATTTGTTTAGACTAATAAATAGTTCTTACAAATCGTCATTTTGCTCTTAAGGAGCCTCTACATGGTCTCAAATCTTTATATAACATACAATCCGCTGTCATGATAATTACAGGTCTTCGACTACGAGCGTTGTTCGTGCTTGACTTCGAGAGTTGTTCGTGCTGGACTTCGAGAGTTGTTCATGCTTGGGGTGCTGAAACCACTCACAAGTTCGATCGCAAGTCGATCGGAATTTGTATTCATTATGCCTTTGATTTTCTCCTGAGGATTTTCGTTTGAGGGCTACTTTCTGACGCTTTGACACAAGACCCTATTAATTCAATGGTTAATTTTTATAATGGCACTGAACACGTTTACACTGAGTTTCTTTTGCTACTTCTTTTCATTCTTTTAGTTTCTATTTAGCCTTTACTGAAAAGTTGTATTGTTTACCAAATTGATAGCTCAAAAATTAAAGGTTTTTAAAAATGGCAAAAGGATTGTTCAAATGTTGTTTCAGGAACTGGTACTTTTACTTTTAATTATAATGAGCGTAAATCGAAAACTATCTAAAATTAATATTACTAAAATAAAAATATTTTCACAATTATTATTGACTAGCGGCCGCCCGCGACTTCGTACGCGTGGATCCCGTTTTACCTCCTTCATCTATGTATCTTACGCGGTTTAGATTTTTTCATACAATTTTTTTCCTGCTCACTCCCGTTCCGGTGGGAATTTTGCAATATCCTGTTGTAACTAAGCTTTAAGTTTACTAAGGTACCTGCATGCCAAATTTCAAGCGTCTATATTACGCGGTTTAGATTTTTTCATACAAATGTTTTTTCCCGCTAACTCCCGTTCCCGTGGGAATTTTGCAATATCCTGTTGTAACTAAGCTTTAAATTTACTAAGGTACCTGCATGCCAAATTTCAAGCGTCTATCTTACGCGGTTTAGAGTTTTTCATACAAATGTTTTTTCCAGCTAACTCCCGTTCCCGTGGGAATTTTGCAATATCCTGTTGTAACTAAGCTTTGAGTTTACTAAGGTACCTGCATGCCAAATTTTAAGCGTCTAACTTAAGCGGTTTAGATTTTTCATACAAAAGGATTTTCCCGCTAATTCCCGTTCCCGTGGGCATTCTTAAGTATCCTATAACCTGCCCAGGAGTATGAAGAATAATTGTACCAAGTTTCGTTAAAATCCGTCTAGTAGTTTTTGTTTCTATAAGGAACATACAGACAGACAGACAGACAGACAAAAATTTTACTGATTGCATTTTTGGCATCAGTATCGATCACTAATCATCCCCTGATAGTTATTTTTAAAATATATTTCATGTACAGAATTGACCTCTCTACAGATTTATTATAAGTATAGATAACCTCAATTATTATTCTCACCACTATCCCATACTACTCAATAAACGCTCTCACCCTGGTGAAATATAAAATAATTCAATGATGAAATTTTAATATCCCGCTAAATTTAAAGTCCACGGAAGTAAACTTGCCTAGGGTATGTTGCCAACAAAATTTATTTCATCCTAGAGCACTCAAATAGAGCATCCAGGAAATTTGCACCAAAGTGGCGTTGAAAATTATTCGCAAATGTAATCGCCCTCGGGCAGTTCATTAAAAATCACTTATTGGGCCAACCCTGGCTTCAGCAGTGGCTGAAATAGCACTACCTGTCTCGCTTTTCCAACTACGGGAAAGAGCGAGACGACTGCAGCTACTTCGGAAGAGAACAAACCCTTGAGCTCAATAGCTTCATTTGGAGTTATTCAAAAAGAGCCAAATGCAGTGCATTGTAATTGAATGTCGAATAAAATGAGTCGTATGTCAATGGGATAAGGTTCATGAATCAAAAGCAGTCTGGATATTCGTCAATGAAGATTATTAAATGGAAACTTTTTATAAGTGACAAACTTTTTCTGTGCTAAATTATGATATCTTTTAGGTAGTAAAATACACGTTGAAAGAATATTAGCGTTTTGTTTCAGCTTCATTTCCAGGTAGCATAATATTAATAAAATTAGTCCTTTGTCAGAAAGGTAAATTAAAATTACTTATTTGCACAGCATGGCAATTGAAACAAAATAAAAAAAATATGTTCCTTAATTACTACCCCTGATTTATGAGCATAATCCTCAAAATTTGTAGGAAACATGCTTTATATAA